AGCACTTTAGACTTAAATACTGCTTTACAGCCCTAAGTGGTTTACAGAGTCAGCCTATTGCCCCCAATAATCTGGGTCCTCATTTTACTGACCTTGGAAGGATGGAAGGCTGAGTCAACTTGAGCCGGTGGGACTCGAACTGCCAAACTGCTGGCAGCTGGCAGTCAGCAGAAGTAGCCTGCAGTACTGCACTCTAACCACTGCGCCACCACAGCTTATACAGAAAGAAACCTGGCAGAACAATCATCTATATGCATTTTTGGGTGAATCCCTTTGAATATATTCAAACCCATTTTTCCTGGCGTTTTCACAGATGATACGTGCCAAATACAATATATTTGGGTGTGTGTGTGTGTGTGTGTGTGAAGTCCAGATTGCATATTGACCCAAGCAGAAGGATGTACTGGATATGCTTCAATAATAATGATGCCCACAGAATTTTCCATCCCAGATATAAGTCTTCATAAAAAAAACAACCTTTCATAAACTCCTTCCCTTTGCCTTAGCGGAATACTGCCAAAAAATAAGGGTGCAGGTTGTTCATTAGCAAAGAAGCCAATCCAAGAAGCCCAGAGCTACTTTCCTAATCAAGAAAGGGAGAACTTGGTGATGGCCTTCCATAGCAAAAGTTTCTCTGAGCAGAAATTTCATTTCCTACTCTAAAGGAAAGGTTCACAGCCCCCCCTCCTTTTAAAGATTTTTTTCTGCAGCTGTCTGATGCTGCCATGGCAGTCATTAATGGACAGACATCTTTTATGTTTTCTTAATTAGGAGGTATCGGTATTGGGATTTGTTTGAGCTGAACAGAGAATGTCTGGGAAGATAAGAAGTTGATTCATTCCAACTGAGATGGAGACAGTGCTCTTAATTATCAGACATAACTATGAATTGCGGCACACATTGCCAAATCTATTTCTGGAATGTTTGGTTTTTATAAATTATAGTTCTCTTCCATATTCTTTTAGAATCCTTTCAGATAGGGCAGTCCAATTGGCACAATCAACTTGGCCATTCAAGAAGGGTTTTGAGAGGCTTCCAAACAAATGCAGCTTCAGAGGAGGGGAAGGGTTTATAATATATTACTGAAGTTCATGGTTAATGAACATGCAGTAATAAATGATCTATGCTTGGAATAGAGAGGAGAGACAGCCACTTGGGTGAAATCGTTAAGGTGCCAGGCTAGAAACCAGGAGACTTGGGAGTTTTAGTCCTGCCTGAGGCATGAAGCCAGCTGGGTGATCTTGGGACAGTCACTCTTTCTTGGTTCTAGAAAGGAGGCAAGGGTAAATCACTTCCCAAAAAACTTTGCGAAGAAAATTGCAGGAACTAGTCCAAGAAGTCTCCAGGAGTCAACATCCATCCGTCCGTCCATCCATCCATCCATCCATCCATCCATCCATCCATCCGTCCATCCATCCATCATCCATCCATCCATCCATCCATCCATCCATCCATCCATCCATCCATCCATCCATCCGTCCATCCATCTAGCCGTCCATCCATCCATCCATCCATCCATCCATCCATCCATCCATCCATCTATCTGTCCATCCATCCATCCATCCGTCTGTCCATCCGTCCATCCATCCATCCATCCATCCATCTATCTGTCCATCCATCCATCCATCCGTCTGTCCATCCGTCCATCATCCATCCATCCATCCATCCATCTGTCCATCCATCCATCCATCCATCCATCTGTCCATCCATCCATCCATCCATCCATCCATCCATCCCTCCAGGGATGGAGGGTTATAAGCAATGGCACCATTTAAGAATTTGTTCTGAAATCAGTGGTTTTAATGGCAATCATAAGGGGCCTGGGGGTTAGGAAAAAGGAACTGAAAAGTGGTGAATTCTGAGGATAACACCAAATTATTTAATATGATCAACACAAAAGGGGCAGTGAAGATTTTGGGAAGAATCTCTGTAAATGATGGGTTTGGGTATTGAAATGGCAAATGCGGTTCATAGATAAATTGATGCATCTGGAAGTAATTTCTTTAAACAAAACAAAACCCAGCTGACCTTTATAGATATGCTAATGGAACCAGAGTGGCTGAAACTGCCTCAGGAAAGGAATACTGTGGTTGTCGTGGATTATTCCACAGGAATGTCAGCCAAGTACAGAAAGAGGCACTTTGTGCTGAATATCATTAGGACAGGACTTTTTTTTTTAAAAAAAAAAGCCAAATATCTATGGGGTTCACTTGGAGTCCTGCATACGATAGGCAGCCTTCAACAATAGGTAGTGGAGTGGAGGACACATTTCATCCGTACAATCCTCTCTTAAAAAGAGAAAAGTCTTCATCCTGCCCACTTTTGGAGTGTGATATTAAAATGGCCCACAAGCCCAGAATTACTCTTTGGGCAATAGAATTTACATCCTCTTGAACTCCAGATGCAAAGTCAGAGCATCAGAATAAGACTTCGCGGAGAAAGCCCAGGAAACTACACAGTGGAATAAGTTTGCGAGATTCCTAAGTATACATTTTATCCTAAGAAGCCAGGCACCCATAACAGCAGAAGACTAAAATTACCAATTGAAAATCAGCAGCTTTGCTTGGGGAAACCAGTACCTTCAACAGTATTGTGAATGGAAGGGAGGCTATCTTGACAGAGAGCCAGTTTGGTGGGGTGATTCAGGAATCAAACCAGAAACTGGAAAGCCACAAGTTCTGGATTTGCTTTTGGCACAAAGCCAGCTGTGCGACCTTGGGCCAGTCATTCTTTCTCAGCCCTAGGAAGGAGACAAGGGCAGACCACTTCCAAAATCTTGCCAAGGAAGCTGCCAGAATTTGTTCAGGCGGTTGCCAGGTGTTAACACTGACTGAAAGGCACCCCAAAATAAATACAAATAAAATTAAAATTAAACAGATAAACAGTATCTCAGCAGGTAAACCTGCCAAAATGGAGAAATAAAAACCAGAAATTACTCTACTTTTGGATGTGGATTGTTAAGCAGCATTTATCTCTGTTCACACCATCTGCAGGGCTCCCATTAGTAGCATTATCAGTCATTTATAATGCCTCAATATTCTCATATAGAAACGATGGCTCCCTTAATCCAAGGGATAGGAAACTGTTATCTCAATATATTTTGGATGACAGGACCTAGAATCCTTTGTCAATGGTCATGCTGGCTGAGGCTGATGGGAACTGAAAACCCAAATATTGATTGCTTCTCTGGTTTTCTCTCCCCGTCTCTGAAAATAGAGCTATTCAATCATACTTAAAATGAAGTCTGCAGTTCTTTATTGCATTATAATCTGGGATGGGCGGGAACCCAATTAGCATTTCTGATTGAAAATGGATGATGAATAATCTGCTAGGCCAAGACCTGAAACATTCTGAAAATAATTCATCGGTCAAATACAGAATACCCTTTTTTAAAAAAAAAAATTCTGCTTTTTGATCTGCTTTAAAATCAGGAAGGAACTATTTTCCTCCTTGTTTTTTTTTATTGCACCATTCTGTCCTTGGCAGGCATCTTCATCCTTTTGTGATTTACTTTCTCCTCCTTTCTTTGGATAGGATTAATCACATGGATGTTCCCACTCAATCAGGGCACACACAAAGAATAGGATGATCCCTAGCCAATCAGATCTGGGTGTGGTGTGGTTTTTCCTGAGCTGTTTCAGGGAGGAAAGGGAAATGAGGGCAAGTTAAACGATTTAAGTAATTAAGGTACTAGAGAAGTTATCTGCCTCTTATTTCTCTCTCTCTCTCAGGGAGAAAAAATGAAAAGTCAATACTTGTAGTCTTGTCTAAGGCACGAGGCTAGCTGGGTGACCTTGGGTCCGTCACTCCTTCTCAACCCTAGCAAGAAGGCAACAGCAAGCCACTTCTGAAAATATTTCCAAGAAAATCCAGACAGTCACCAGATGTCAACACTGATTCAAAGGGCCAAATCCCCAAATTTGGCAGCTTTAAGACTTGCGGACTTCAACTCCTAGAGAATTCTGGGAGTTGAAGTCCACAAGTCTTAAAGCTGCCAAGTTTGAAGACCTCTGCTTTAGAGCTCCAGCAGCCCTGCACTTTCAAGAGCTGCCTCTAGGTGGGAGCAGAGGGGATGTGGGACTATTGTCGCCAACTTCCTTTGCTCGTTCTTCCCCAAAGGTGCTAAGTGACTTGCCTTGGGCTATGATGCGTCAATGCATGTTGTTTGCCAAAGCTTTTCTTGCAGGATGAGCTACTGGGAGGAATGAGGCTTTTGAAAAAGAAAGGGCAGGTTTTCTGGCTGAGATCTTGCTCAGCTTCATTCACTTTCCCACTGCTAACTGCCAGCCCAGCGTCCTGAAAAATCAAGGCACCCAGACATGGATGCTTCTGGGCTAAAATAATCGTTTCAATTGTTTCGTGCGCCAGAAACGCTGAATACACCCTGACAGAGAGGAAATGGCCACAATGAGAGGAAGAAAAGGGAGAGGTTTATTACTTTATTTAAAGTAAACTGTTAAGGGATTACACACAGGCCCAGGCCCTGGGCTTTCTCTCAGCCACAAGGAATAGCACAAATCACTGCAACACAGCTATTGTTATGGCGGTTCTTGAAAGGAAAGATCTGAAAACCGGAGGCAGAGTAAAAACTCTTTGTAGAGTCCCCGATATAAAGCAGAGACAAATAAGTAGGATAAAAGGACAGTTTCGGATTACTGTGTTGCAGTCAAGTCACACCTCTGACAAATTTATCTTATTAAAGTAAATAAATGCTAAGGTCACATTAAGGTCAACGGAAGGCTCTCATATGGCCCTTCCTGTTAAAGCTGTTACAGTATTTAATCTTCACACCTTGTTCTCTGCTGCTCAGATTAATGCAGCCAATCCTTACTAACGGATATTTAGGACTAAGTGAACTTCCATGTTTCTTAGCTGAGGGGAATGTTGACTCTATTGATTGAGGATGATGGCAATAAAAACCAACATAGCTTGAAGAAGACCCCAAATTGGGGAAGGATATCTTAAGGGGTAGGGTAAAGAAAATACACACCACACAATGCTGAGGAGGTCTTCTTAGCTAACATCCATTGAAGTTTAATCACATTACAATTATAAAAATTGAAATTCGATTCATGGTAATAACAGCTCAACATTCATAATTAGTATTGGAAGAAAAATGCACAGTAGAATGATGGCAGAGGCTGCAGTAGCAAATTACAGCAACTAATTAAAGACAGAGCTTTGAAAGTTATCTGGCCATGTAGCTGCTCAAGGATCAGGGTTTTGCAAATTCTGATCCCAGAATCATCTCAGATCAGAATTGTTTGCCACTTACTTATTTTGCAAGTTCTCCAGCAATAGTTCTTGGCTTTTTTTTTAAAGCATAAAAATAGAATGCAAAACACACATTTGAGTGAATATGCATGTAAAAGTAATTTAAATAAACAGACATAATTTAAACACCAATGGTGCGATTAGCTGCTATGCTAATTAATGTGCAAATGGGTAGAAGAAAATGACCCTTCATAACTGCTGGGCATGGGAAGATGCTTTTAAAAGGTGCCCCATCTTCTCAGTTCCAGGGTGAAGTGAAGTCCCACACAAAATTAGCAAAGGCGGATATAGAAATGAGTGCAATCTGTTGCCCATACAGATTGGACAGATCATGGGAGGGCCAAAAAAATCTGTTTTGATGCAGACCTGCTAAAAAACAACCATATGAGGTGATGATTTCTAACAAGCTGAGACTACCTTGTAGCGTTTCGTGCACTGTGATTGACATGGCCATTAGAAACCAGATCAGACTGGGTGTGAGATACTGCTGGCATCAAGAACCTAGGGAATGATGTGACACTGTGTTATCTTTGACTAGTAGGTCAAGCAAAAAGTAAAAATGTTGAAGGAAGCTTCCCAAGGGCAATCAAGGCTAAGGAAAGGAAAGGTTGCCTCTCTGGCATGAAAGCAGAAGAGACATGAAAATAACTAAAGTGATTGTAAACTTGTCTCCTTAAGACTGAACATATTCTGCTTTCCCTGCCTGCTCCTTCTAGAATATCTGGGGTGAAAGCTGGGAGAAAAGATACAAACTTGAGTCAGGTTTCATGCCAGGTTTCACGATTTATAGAGAAGTAATAGTTTGCCATAGTCACTCTTGAACCTACACCCTGGGCTTTTGTAGTGACTTTCCAGCCAAGCATTAACCAGCTCTGCTAAGGTTTGGTTGCTTTAGATATACCAGGTGTTGCCTCTGTATGCGAGTTACAAGTGACAATGAGGACAAGTGAGTTATTGTTATTGCTCTGGAAGAAGGAGAAGGTAGTGAGTGTTGCATGTTTGGAGCCCCAGGCTGATGAAAGACAAACTATTAAGTACACTATCCATCTGCTTTATATCCTGTAAATATATGCTTAGATGAATAGCGATAATAGCGCTATCCTTATCTGAAGCTAGAAATGTACTTGGTGTTTATGAGAGGGTCTCCTGTGCCCTGGGGTCTTCCAAAGCCAGTTTCTTCCTCAAACTGAGGAGAGGATTCAAAACTGCATTCATAATTTATATGTTCAATGAACTCTTTTTAAATCAACTTCATTGGGTGCAGAATTTAATTGTGTTGGTGCAGAGTATATTATACAGGTTCGTATCTATTGTCTAGAGTCGGGATCTCCAACCTTGGCAACTTTAAGACTTGTGGACTTCAACTCCCAGAAACCCCTGGTCTAGAGTATTGAGAAGGGATTCAAAATAAGGGCGAGTCAAGACTGGACATAAGTTCCACATTCAAAAGAGGGAATCTCAATCTCTTTCTCTTGAAAGGAGGCAACTCAGTATGGCTGAGCTCCTGTAAGTGACCAGCATTGACTTGGTCCTGCTTTTCCTAGTAGTTCCAGGTGTCCAGATTTTCTCAGAAGAAGAAAAACTGAAATAGAAGATTGAAGGATGAGATAATTTATACTATGATAAAAGTAGTAGTTATGGAGAACCAATAGATTCCTCTTGTCTTCAGGCCAATTCAATATTTTTGTGATTCAGGTAGCACAGCTATACCACTACAATTCAGAGTCATGGAAATTTGGTCCTCTGAAATTAGTAACTAGGCTAAAATAATTTCAATGACAAATGAATTTTATACAAAGGAAAGATTTAAATGAGAAAGTTGAAATAATGTCTGAAAATAAAGGTTTTTTTCCTTCTGGTATGAAGGGTTTAGGTAGTAAACATTGGATTCCAAATCCCTCTACAAGAATTGCTTAATGGCATTCCAGAATAGTGGTTGAAGTGAAGTCATGTTGGAGGCTGGTATTACATGTTGTGGCATAGAAATGCCTTCAATAAAGGCATTCCATGATTTATTTTGTTGTGGCTGGAAAAGAAACACCAGAGTGAGGGGTCCTTGGTGCTCTCTGAGCTTGGTTGTTTTCTTGCAGATGTTTCATTACCCAAACGAGGTAATATCATCCGTCCTAATACTGATGATGTTACCTAGCACTGATGTTTTCTAGTTTGAATATTGAAACCTCTGCAAAAAAACAAAACAAAAACAACCAAGCATAGAGAGCACCAAGGACCTCTCATTTCAATCCTGAGCTACAAATATTCTCCTTTATTGGGATACTGGAGTGCTCTCACCTTATGGGCAGGTAAAAACTTGTTTTATTCCTTCTGATATTTGAGAGGCCCAGGAACAATCAGCCCTTGAAACAATTAAGTATGCTGGCAAACTGTGGTATGTAGGTACCAAGTTTTTATTTATTTATTAGATTTTAAAGAAAATCCTGCCTTTTTTAAATAAATAACTCAAGGCAGCGAAAATACCCAATACTCTTTCCTCTTAGTTTCCCCACAACCCTGTGAGATGAGTGGGGCTGAGATAATGTGACTGGCCCAAAGTCATTGTTGGCTTTCATGTCTAAAATGAGACTAGAACTCACCTCTCCTGGTTTCTACCCTGGTGACTTAACCACTAGATCAGACTGCTCTTCAGAATCCAGGGACTTTACAAAATTTAGTCTGCATTCTATAACAAATTGAAAAAGCGGCTACAAAAATGGTTCCAACAATGGCTGAACGCACCTTAAGTGAATGAATTCTGCTGTAACTTTTTACATGTTTTCATATATGAAGCTAACTGAGATTAAATTGTAGACCATTATTTAAATAACTGGGGATTCTGGAAGTTGTGTAGAGCAAAGATGCATTCTATGGAGAAAACCTGAGAAGAAAATAAAAAAGGAACTCAAGTGTTTTGATTTTGTTTTGTTTTGTTTAAAATGTTTTTTTTTACTTCATTTAAGGGAGAAAATCCCACAGTATCTGTTAAAAAACAAATAGCAACAGGGACACTTGGCATGCAAAATTATTTTGAACATTCTTTTACATTAGTGGCAGCCAATTCAACACGCATTTTACAGAGATTTATTTCTTTGTTATCAAACAGGTAAATCAGAATTCTGTCATTCATACCATACTGAAAAATGGTCTATAATGGACGAAAATGAATCAGGCAACAAAGATACTATTTATAAATCAGATCATCTGAGGACTTTGTTTTTCACATTGTATAGTACAACAAACCAGTATTTTACACAGTCACTGGAGTAACAATTATTCCATTATACTTCTAAACCAGCATATGAATGAAAGGGAGTTGTAGTTTTCGAAGGCAGTCTAGTTAAAATGTTAATTTTACAGTGTTATTGCAACAAAGAGACAGTGAAAACTGCAAATTTGAATCTTGACTCAGATCACCAATGTAGAAATGGGTAGTGCTATAAACAAGAATGATGCGGAAGATTGGGGCTTGGTATTTTAACACATTTATTAAATTGTGGCTGGTTGAACATCTGACACCAGTATGATGTGCTTCTTCCTATCTTAAATCCAGTTTATTGGTTGTTTTAAAGGGGAAAACTGGTTCTGTAAGATGTATTTGCCATTAGTATAAAAGAAGGAGAAGCACATCAAGAGGCTGCCAATTAAATTGGTTTTATGAGGGGAAAAATACATGCCAGACCTGGCAGAAAAAGAGAGATGGGCCTATACTTTATAAATGAGGTAGAAGCCAAGCGTTGTGACAGTGTGAAGGATAAGAGAGCTTTGGAAGCAATTATTCCAAATGGTTATGAAGAAAGTGACAAGATGGGTGGAGTACAGAAACTATCCCTATTTCTGTGCATGACAAAAAAAAATGGAGTGGGGGGGGACACGGACAAAGTGGGCCTGATTTACATTTTGTTACGCATTAGTAATTTTGAGAAACAACAACAGAAAGTTATCCATGGGTTTTCCCCATATCCCTGAGGTGGGGCCACTCTTCACACGGATGCCATTATCAACTTGAGGAAGCCTGCCTGTGGAAGGGTCATTAGGTCTGAAATATGGTCATGTAAACATCAACCCTTGCCACCCTGACCTTCCTTGGGAAATCAATGAACCATCACCACTTACATTGTACGTACACAACAAAAAACAGAACTGAGTCATTACCTTTAAATTAGGAATCGGCACAAAAAGACCCTTAGAGCTTTATTGTTGTACCCCTCCCCCCCGCATAAGGAGAGGGGAATAAAAATATAATTATATATGTATATATATTAAACCACTATTTAAGTACATACCCTATTCATAAATAACCAAACACTTTCTGCCATTGCAAAATTACTCATTGAGATCTTTAAAATGATATCCTCATTAAGACCAAAAAAAACAACAACAACAAACAAACTGGGAGGGGAGGGTCTTCGTGTTGGGTTAATTTGCGCATGAAAACAATAACACAAATCTGGGGTTGACTGTGTAATACGTAATTCCCAAGTCTGGAGTGTGTAGCAAAGCCAGTTTTCTTTTCCCCTTCCACTCTGCTCCCAGAAGGGAATGAGTCCATTTGCAGATTCAGTCAATGTATTCTTCCCCCCCCAAAAAACAGCTAGGAAGGAAGCATGTTGTGGGCCCACAGGCAGAAAGTTTTCAAGAGCTTTCTTTGGGTTTGGCAAGATTTCCATTTCTGGGAGCGTGGGAGGGTGGGATTCCTGGAAAAAGATGCATTTCTTCTACTTCTGAATCCATTTTCTCTCATATAAATAGAAGCCAACGTTTCCACACAGGACATGCAAAGTAGTGCAACAATTCCACTCATACTACTATACAACAGTCTGTTTCTGGAAAGACCGAAAGGGGTCCTTTGTTTCCAAGAAATGCTGCTGATGCCAATGCAGGGATCCTTCTGCTGCTGCAGCCTTCATCTCCAATCCACAGGAAGGAGCGTGCATAGAACAATTATAAGGTCCGGACAGCTACAGGGTAGAGGAGTGACAAATGTTCAGCTCCTTTGATAGGCAGTTTCTTTGCAGTGTAGTAGTGAATAACCTCAGGCACGCTGTCAAAGGGGGGGCTGTTCTGACCCAAAATATACTTCTCTTTGGTCTTTGCCAACTTCATGTGCATGAACCCTTGGTTACTCCTGTTGGAAAAAGAAAGGAGGGGGGGGGGGAGAGAGAAAGTTGATATACAAATTTCCACAAGCCACCATTGATAAGGGAATCTGATGATGAATATGTTACATGAATGTAGAACATGCTGAGTATATTAAAAAAATTCCCACCTGTCCTTGGCACCATATGTAAGAAAAACAAAGCAGAACATTTAGTTAAATAATTGCTTTAAAACTCCAGTGACGTGTAATTGAAATGACCATAACCTGTCTGCCAGCTGCTTAAGGGAGTATGGACTATTCAGTGCTTTGGTTTTGAAAGTGCTTTTATTAATTACTTATTACTTATTATTTATTATTGAAATTTTCCATGGCAATTTTATGATGGAATGCAAAATCCTAGGATTTTGGAGCTGCCAAGAGATCCCAGAAAAAGATGCATTTGTTTTAAGATTCTGTAGACAGACATTATATTTTCCAATAAAAGGAGAATATTTGTAGCTCCACGCTGAAATGAGGCCTCTGAGCTTGGTTGTTTTCTTGCAGAGGTTTCATTACCCAAAGTAAGTAATATCATCAATAGCTAGTATTAATGATGTCACCTAGTTTGGGTAATGAAACCTCTGCAAGAAAACAACCAAGCTCAGAGAGCACCAAGGACCCCTCACTATATTTTCCATTTTCTGCTTCTAAATTCTGAAAAACTGCAGACCCCCCCATTATGAAGTAGGATGCATTCTAAGGATTAAAGAGAAAGAGTTGTTGGCTCTGATCAACCATTAATATGTATAGTTGTGTGCTACATTACTGAGAATGATGCTATGAATAAATATTGTCTATCCCTAATTAGACGGAACCTCTGAATATACCCAAGTTAGGATAACACGATACAAATATAGACCAGTCTATGGGTGGCTTTGGATTTTATAACAAATATGCAACTACTCTGTATTCAGCTGTCAATTTTTTCTGCAAAGTCTAAAAACAAATACCTCAGGCAACAAATGCGAAATTTGAGGGTACAGAAACCCTTGTTGGATGATCCCTCCAGAGAAACATGTATAGCTTACCACTTAATTTATAATGAGCCAAAATGTTTTTTAAAAAAGAGAGAGACAGAGAGAAAAAGAAAAATCTAGGGAGATTTTTCTGACTGCGCAGGCAATTGAAAGAAGGCTGAGAGACTGCAGGGAAGGTGTTTGAGTTTGCGTCTCAAGGGCACAAAGAGATAATTTTAAATTGAGAATAGTGCCTTTATCCCCTCTTAAATTGCTTAAGAAAATTCAGCTTTTTCATAGGATGTGGGGATATCTCCACTCTGTGAAGAAGCTGAAGCAAATTTCAAACTCACATTATTCAAATTTTCCAAGGCAATTTTGTGATGAAATGACCCTTCTCTATAGAGCAGAAATCACTGCAGGCATTGTAATTATAGCTCTGGCACGCTTAAAAAAATCTTGATTTAAATTTAAATTCTTTACGAGAATGATTCTCTTTTGAAACATAATTGTTCTCTAAACGATTTCCTTTAAGCCAAGGGTGACACCTCTAAATACTTATTATGAGCAGATATATTGTGGTATCCCTTCAAGTTTATTATGCTTTTTTTTATCCTCCTCTAGTAAACGCTTTAAAATCCTGATACCAAATTAATGGGATTGTAAAAACAGGTGCATGTTAATTTAAAACTAGAATAGAGGCCAATCTGATGAGAGGTCTTTTTAGATTTAATGCAAGAACAGAAGACACTAGTTAAATTTGTTTGTTTGTTTGCTTGCAGTTAGAATGATTATCTATTGATCTGGATCATATACAAGATTGGTTTGGGATTTAGTTTATATACTGGATCATGATGAGGTTTTTTTTACTACTATCCATTATGGTTTATAAATCATGTTTTATAGCTTGGCATGACATGTGAATGCAACCAACTATGGATCAATCAAACCAACCATGAATAAACTATCTACAGCCTAATATTCAGACAATATGAAAGTTTTTATTTATTTATATGGAGGGAATTATATTGAAAGGTCTGAAAGAGCCAGTGAAAGGTTGGCTCTGTACCAACTTTACACAGGATTCCTACTGGCAGAATATTAGAAGAGAATATCATATTCCTGAATCCAGTTTTCCAAGCCTACTTCCCTGAAGCATATTACATTGCCAAATTATGTTTCCTTGTATTTGTAACTTTGCAAGACATGAAAATGGATCCCAGATTGTCTTATCATCGGACAATTTTTATTTGTCAGAGATAGGAATATAATATGCATACGGGCTGTCAGGGGCTGTCCTATTATCTTGCAGCATAATCATGCTTTAGAACAGCGGCCCCCAACCTTTGGGGTACCAGGAACCGGTTCCCTGGAGAGAGGTTTTTCCGTGGACCGGAGGGGAACATGTTTTTTTTTTTTAAGTTTTTTATTATTTTTTTAAAACATAAACATAAAACACATTTTTTCAAAACAAAGCTTTTGATCCGGTCACAAATTAATACAAATCACTAATTTAATTCCTTTAGTTCTATTCAAAGCTTAGTTGTTTATCGGGTCTTTGTTTCTTTAAGGTAGCATTTTAAACTTTCAGCCCCTTTATTATTCAGCCGCTATTTTATAGCTAGGGATCTTATAGATGTTAATTTTGCTCTAGGCGTTGTTCTAGCCTGGGTTGGTTGTCACTCACCTGGCTTCAAAGAGCTCCGTTTCTATCCAGTTTCCTCAGCACATTTCTTGCCTATTGTCCCAGCTTCGTGGCAGCCGCCATGGCTGCCGCCCCATGCTGCTGACTCACAGAGGGTTCCCTCTGACCTCTGAGGAACTTGCCTGTTCCTCTTGGTCGTCCGAGGTGCCCCTCCTTTTCCCCCATCCTTGCAGGACGGTTCCGGTCCGAAGACCCATTGGCGGCAGTTCGGCAACCGGGGTTTTCGTGGGGCTCATCAGAGCCCGCTATTTCCCTAACTGTCTCACCACGACGCCAAACTGGAGGTCTCTGGAGGGGAACGTGGTTTTGCATGCTGCCTGCCGGAACCCCCAGAAGGGGCTTTACTTGTTTGTGCAGACTGGTTGCTGGCATGCCACAGACCAGTGCCAATCCTTTGATCGGGGGTTGGAGCAGTGGTGGAATTCAAATTTTTTTACTACTGGTTCTGTGGGTGTGGCTTGGTGGGCATGGCAGGAGAAGGATACTGCAAAATCCCATTCCCACCCCACTCTGGGGCCAGCCAGAGATGGTATTTGCCGGTATTTGCCGGTAATTCTCCGAACTACTCAAAATTTCCGCTATTGGTTCTCCAGAACCTGCGGAATTTCACCCCCTGGATTGGAAACCCCTGTTTTAGAAAACCTGTTAAATGCACAACACTTTGAATTGATTGCTCTTCTTCCAGTCTTTTCACAACTGTATATAAAAGTTTAGGCATATTCTTGCACTCCTGAAGTGAACAGAAATTGACACAACTTCTACATGGTAAAAAGTTAAATGCAACATCTTTCTGAAAATGTAGTGGACGTCCTTATAATTTATGGATAGTTATTTACATAGTCAAAAAAACCAAAACAGTGAATATGACAGACCAAAAAGCTGCGCACCTTTTCAGTCAATACCCGTTTTGGTAGAAACGACAGCTTCCAAATATTTCCTACAGCCACCTCTAACAGCTTTTAGTTCTTGTTTTTGGATTTTGCCTTACTCTTCCTTGTGGAAATCTACTAGCTGATAAATATTCTTAGGCCTTGGAAATATCCAACCTTTTTTTTTTAAAAAACTTCATTTTTTCACTGATTATGGGACACTGATCTGCAAGGTAGAACCCACAATCACTGCAAAACACTTGCTGAAACGTTTAACTGACACTGAAGTAGTTACCCAAAAGTCCTCTATGCAGTATTGATTATACAACAATAATCTTCATCAGAGAGTTATCAGAAAGAAATATTTTCTCTAATCTCATCACAGGTCATTGTTTCAGTGAGGCAAACACATAAACCAACAAACTTTGATAAGCCTGAAACCCTTTGGAACAAGGTGCTTTTGACTGATAAAAACCAATGTTGACTTCTTTAGGCACTGCACATGAAACATTTGAAGAAAAATGTCTGAGGAATTTAAAGAAAAGGACATTTTGCCAGGCATTGAGCAAGATCGTTATATGGCATCCAGTAGCACAGAAGTATTGTGTGGGCTGAAGGAAGGATAGATTCTACTAAATTTCAACATTTCCAAGAAGCTAATGTTCCATAGTCAGTGAAGAAATTGAAACTGAAAAGAGCTTGGAAATATTACCGTAGTGAGATAACAGTCCAAAATAGTTTCCCAAATCAATCATGAAGCAATTACAAGAGAGAAAAAAAAAGTCTTTGGAATGGCTGCCATGGTTCCCAAACTTGTATATTACTGTAAAAAATGTGGGAAGATCTCAAACATGAAGTGCATGCAAAGAGTCCTCAAAATATTCTTGAACTATAGAAGAATTCTTCAAGAAAGCACACCAAAAGTAAGGGGAAAAAAAAGATATATAGCTGCCTGTAGCAAATAGTTGGAAGCCGTTTCTTCTGCCAAAGAAGAGCTATGAGGTGTTAATTGAAAGGGTGTCCAAATTTCCTTACCTGTTGTGTTTAGTTTTCTTTCCCCGCATTCTCATTAACCTTGATTTGATTAAATACAAAATTTAATAAGACATAAAATCAAATCAACTTGAATGGAACGTTTTCCATAATCATCCAGCTGACTGCATGAATTGCAAAAACTCTGATGTAACCCTCTGCCTGTGGAATTAAAATGTGCTCTTCTCTGCTCTCTTGCAATGTTTGCTGTTCGTGACCCATATTCAGCTGTGGTATGTGTCCTTGCAAGACTGTTAATGGATTTTTGACAGCTCTTGTTCAAAAATCTATCAGGCTTGCCTTTCTAACTGTGGACACAATGAGTGCCTGTGAATTGGGAAGCCTACTGAGGAGTGTGAGCTTCCAATCTTTCATCTCTAGATGTGATTGTCTTCCACCCTGTATAACTTTACCTAGCTTCCTCTT